TAAAGGACTCCTGCCTATTGAGGGAGCTCAAGGTGGCCTCAATGAAGACGGGGGAGCTCTGAGCCCAGAGCTGTGGTGTCCTAAGCAACTAGCCTGTGAGCCACCTGTCTAAATTTAAATGCTCTAGCATCCACGTTTTTTAAAAAGATAAAAAGCAGTGAAATTAATGTTAACAGTATATTTGATTTAACCCCATATTCCAGAGTGTTACCATTTCAACATGTAACCAACATAAATGTTACTGAGATAGGTTACCTCTTTTGGTTTGTTTTCCAGAACTCTTTCTTTGAAATCTAGTGGCTTTTTTACACTTACCACACATCTCAACTTGGACTAGCCTTATTCCAGCTGCTCAAAGACACATGTGGCCAAGTGGGCTCCATATTGGATAGAGAACAAATAACATTTACTTATGGGGCCAGCAGTGGTGGGACTCGGATGGGGTCGGGCACAGGAGGGATGCACATAGTGGGCAGCATGGGGCGGGGTGCAGGCTGAGGAGGGGAAGGCAGGGTGTGGAGGTGGGACTTCAGGCCAAATGGGCTTGCAGACCAAGGGACCCATGCAAGGACTGTAGCTGTGGCCAACATGATCAGTCTGGGGTTGTCAGACATCTTTGAGGAGAGATAAGAGCATGTTTCAATGGGATAGAGAAGGGTTTGGAGGCTGGTAAATGACAGCTGTGGGCGACAAGATACATATGATCCAACCTCCTTCTGGTGCCAGCCCTTTACTCTAGAAGAAAACAAACTGACCAGCCTGAGACGTTCCATGAAAAGCCCCGGGGGCGCCATGGGGCTGGACTGTGACTTCTTACGTTGCTTTTCCCACAACTCACCCTTGGCCGAGCTTGTGCTGCTCGGCATCGGCCTCCCCCCACCGGACATCAGCATTTGCTGAGCCTTTCTAATGAGCCAGACCCTGTATGGAGCCCTTAGTTTTAAGCTTCTCAACAATTCTTCAGGCAGGGATTATGATTACATCTCCATTTCATAGATGAGATAATATATTTTTAATCTTTTTATTTATTTATTTTGGCCACTGCCATATGACATGTGGGGTATTGATACCCCTCAACCAGAGATGGAACCCACACCCCTTGCATTGGAAGCATGGAATGTTCCCTACTGGATCACCAGAGAAACGAGGCTCAGGGACATTAAGTGACAGGCACAACGCTCCCCTGGTGGCTCGGAGGGTGAGACAATCTGCCTGCAACACCAGAGACTCGGGTTCCATCCCCCGGTCGGGGCGATCCCACGCGGAAGGGAATGGCTACCCACTCTCGGATTCTTGTCTGGGAAATGCCAGGGACAGAGGAGCCTGGTGGGCTATAGTCCAGGGGATTGCAAAGAGACGGACATGACTGAGCAGCTACACTTCACTTCTTCACAAAGCCACAGTCTGGAGTGCCAGTGGCGGAACTTGAGGCACGTTCTGGGCCACAAGGAGAGACTCAACTGCCTGTCTTAGATCAGTACCAAGAGGGGCATTTTCCAAGCCTGAGACGGAGAGGCAGAGGTCAGTGTTCCTTCTTCCTCTTTTGAATGAGCGGGGTCATTTCTGATCAACCCACCTTCATTTCAGAGTCCCCAGGAGGCTTGCAGGACTCTGAAATCCAGAGAGTGGTAACTTGCCCTCATCCTGCTCGTTTCAGGGTCTCAGAGGGTCTCCTGCTCTCGGGTCGAGCTCCCCAGGTCTCCTGTCAGCCTCCTGAGGTCAGGGAATCTCCCACCTTCATCCTCAGCCTGGTGCACAGCATCGCCTTTTCCCTTCCCCTCTCCCCACCCTCCTCCCTTCCTTCTCCCTGCCCTTCTTCCTTGTTTCTTTCTGTCAGGCTGCCGTCCGAGTGCTCTCAGACCTTCACCTGCAACCTCCCCTCTCCTCTTGCGAGGCCTGGCATAGGCCAGAAGGCGAGCACGGCGGCCGGCTTTCCACCCACACGCCTCAGCTCCCCCCGTGCTCTCCTTTCTGCCAGGGCCTTCCCCAGAGCCTGGGCAACTCGGCATCTGGGTTTATCCCACTGACTTGTTGGGACTTGAAAAGCCTTTTCTAATTGGTATCTGTTCCCAGTGAGATTCAGTTTCCATTATGTGAGAAAGACCCTCTCACCCATTCCCTTCTTTGCCTTTTTTCAAGAACAATAGCAGGTATGTCTCTTGAATGAGAATTTTTTTTCCAAAATGAGTTCACATTCATTTAGCCACAAATATGTTCTCTGTGTGTGTGCCTGTGTGCACATCTATGTATACAAAGGCACACATTCAGATTACTTGAACACAAAATCCAATGTGCTGAAATTCCATTTCTGATGTAAATGAATAAAATTTTTTATGGAGCATTGTAAGGGCCATTGAGATCACACTGCATTTAGAAATCATCATTATCTCTCTCTCCTCTTTCCCTATTCTTCTGAACATCTCTTCAACTGACTACAAAGAATGCAGGTCAGACATGCCTAGGAAATCCCTAGTCTATGGCATGTCTGCTCTTTATTTTAAACCATCTCAAATATATCTTTATCAGACCCAATGCCCTCCAGTATTCTAAAGGCCTTTGTCACATAAGCAATTTCTCCATTCCATGGTGGCCTATCTGACAGTTTCCCATCTACCTGCTACTTATTATTACACTCGACTTTGAATTTTAAAACCCCACTGAGAGTTTAAAGGATCTTGAAGGACAAAATCAGAAACCTAGATTAGCAGTTACTATAAATCTGCAAGAAAGCTAGTTTAGGTTTTTTTTTTTTTTTTCCTGTTTGGAACAACGCAAAGTATAATCCAAACACATCGTATAATGAAGCTGGTATCCTGGAAAAGCGTCTTCATATTTCACTCACCTCTCTGCCTGCCTTCACTGTTTCATCCTCACTAACTGAAGATGTTCCTGGGATGACGCCCTTTTATCTGAATTCTGGGGAAACACTCACCCCCAACATGAAGCCTCGTTTAGGCTGAATTAAAACTCATTTGATCGCAGGCTTCCCTCTTGGCTCCTTTGCTCAGCTTTGATGAAGGCGACAGTGCCCGGCTGTATGCCATGCCGCCTGAGTGTCTGCACCCCAGGAGCGCTCTCCCCCCGGCAAAGACCACCAATGCAATGTGCACCTTGGCAGTGGGGAAAAGCAGCATGGGCTTCCTGGGCTCTGAGCGTCAGGAGCAGAAAGACGCAGCTGCTGATGAAACACCTGGGTGTCAGCTTCACTGGCAGGGTTACTGGGATGGGCTTGCCCATGCTCCCCAGGAAATCCCCGCAGTTCCTGAGCGCCCCTCCCTTTCCCTTTCTCTGCCACGTCTGATGTGTGTGCTCTGAGAAGTCTGCTCAATTCTGCTCGACAAGGCTGCCTTTCATGGTTCATTTTGGCCAAACATCACAGCAATGACAGCTAACACTATACAAAGTATGCCATGCGCCAGGCACTGTCCAGGGTGCTTGATAAATAATAATTCATTACTTCTTCACAACAACCCTATGAAATAAACTCTATTATTCTCTCATGTTACAGGTGAAGACACAGAGACCTCAAGGGGCCAACTTGCCTACCATTACACAGCTGGTTGATGGAAGAATATATTTACATATTTCAGGCAATCTAGACCTAACTTCAGTGCCCTTCACCTCTTGGCCACACTGCCCCTGCCCCGGGGCTGACTATCCTAGACTCTGTGCTCAGTGCTGTTATTGTTGCTGTTTAGCCACTCAGTCATGTCCAGCTCTTATGCAAACCCATGGACTGTACCCTGCCGGGCTCCTCTGTCCAGGAATTTCCCTGGACTTGGCATTTCCCAGGCAAAAATGCTGGAGTGTGTTGCCATTTCCTACTCAAAGGGATCTTCCCGACTCAGGGATCAAACCTGCATCTCCTGCATTGGCAGGGAGTGTCCTTTACCCCTGAGCCACCAAGGAAGCCCACACGAAGTATACACAGACATGTTTTCATGTGGTCTTCTCAACAGGTGGGCATTGCAATTGCATATTTATGACACATCTCCAAGCCAAATATAGCCAGTGAGTATAGGAGCTAGACAAATTTATTTCCTCCTTCAGTGGACATTTCCTAAGGTTATAGTATGCTCCAAGCTCAGTGCTACAGATGTAATAAGAACAGACATGCTCTCTGCTCTCATGAAGCTCTCCATGGGAGAGGCCATTATCTATCAAACAAAGTCATCGTTGTCAAGTTGGCTAAGGAGACAGACCACTAGCCAGGGCAGGGTATCTGATGTAGCCAGGGGTGGGGTGGGCTTGTGGCAGAGCTTCTTTAAAGTGTATCTATCCATGGGAAGCCAGGTGGTAATGGGCAGATGTTGAGGAACGGGCAGGAAAAACTATGTCAACAAAGAAGCACAATGTACACAGGCCTGGAGGAGAGGTGGCTGGTGAGCTGGTGACCCTGGAACCAGGCCAGCGTGGCGGCAATGCCAGGGATCGGGGCAGGGACACAGGAGTGCCTAGAGATGAGGAAGGAGAAACACGAAGCTGTGGTTCATCTGACCATAAAGCAATGTTTTAACTCCCACTGTTACACTGACCATACTTTTATAACAGGTTTTTGGCAGCAAATTTTGCTTTTCTTGTTTTCACAAAACAGTTGGTAAAAAAGCACATTTCCCAATCTCAGAAACATGGCTTGTGCTGCAGACAGACATCATTTCAAGTATCCCTGTGATTTGCCATCACTAACATACTCCATCAGGGCCCTATTTGCAAAGGAGATGATGCAGGTGAAAAGCCTTGTAAACAGCAGTGTGCCTTCCACACGCCTGGGTTATTATCCCTAACAACGGAGCTTGTTTTGGATGATGCATGCGTTGTTTACAAGAGTTAATATATGTAAAGTGTCCAAAATGGTGCCTGGCTCCAGGTAAACAACTGTGTAAGTGTTAACTTTTGTTGTTACTGTTCTGCCTCCCTTTTTTCTTTTCCCAGGCTTGGTCTGGTTCTCCTATGAAATCACGAAAATGGTCTCATGGGCCCATGTCCCTCTTCTCTTTCAGGCCAGAACAAAATCTGCTTCATCCCAGGCATGGTGGGACCCATATTAGAGATGACTCTTATCCCTGAGGCTGAGCTCCGGAAAGCCACCATCCCAATCTTCTTCGACATGATGCTGTGTGAATATCAAAGGAGTGGGGATTTCAAAAAGGTAAAAAATGAGGCTGGAAACTCAGGCCAACAGCCCTAATCCCCAGCCCATTTCCCCATAATACCTTCATTCTGTCTGCCTGCGCTTCATTCAGAGGCTTGATGGGAGGCTGGGGACATTGATTCACATGCCTGGAATGAGCTGGCAGAGCGGATTTGGTCAGTGTTCTATCATGCTTTCCCGCCAGAGGCCGAGATTAAAATACACTTTCTTGCTGGCTATCAGCGTGGTCCCTTTCTCAAAAGTATAGGAATCCTACTTCCCTACAGAAGAGCCCCCTCAGGGCGAGTCCCAAGGGGCTGCTTCTCCCCCTGCACACATCGGACGCCCACCTTGGTCCAGCACTTCGGCTTCTGCAGTAACACAGAAGATGTGAACGTCAGACTTGGCCACGTGTCAGGTTGCCAGCAAGCAGAGGCGCAGGCCCCGACACTCAGGAGGGCCCTGCAGAGCTGTAACAGGGTGAAGTGGGGCTTTCCCCAGCATGCAGGGACAGAGCCACTTGGGGCAAATGCAGGGGCCAATAGTCAAATGTTTTCATTGAAAATTCCGTTGGACTGGAAGAATGAGGCCCTTCTTATGGGCCCAGCCACTCCAGACACTTGTGCCAGTGAAGTAAGCACTGGTTTCCACAACGGGGTCCTGGATCCATTCAGAAGTCAGGCCCAGTTTAGGGAGGTTGGTCTTTACGTCCTGTCAAGTCTGCCTTAGCGATGCAATGCCCTCAGGTCTTGCCCTTCTGTCCTCCCTGCCCCCTCCTCCTCTGGTGCTCCCCTAGTTGGACTCCCTTCTCACCCTGGCATTCCTGCCCCTCATTCTGTACCATATCCTACACCAAAAAATTTTCCTTAAAATAGGTATCTAAGTGCCTTCTAAAGGGCAGCAGTTTCCAAACTGCTCTTCCTTAAAATCCTGTCTGACTTTATTCTTCCTTTGTTCATTGGTTCCCTAATCCTCATCCAATGAAGTCCAAACCCTGTCACCTACATTCCAGGTCCTCCTTACTCTTCTTCAGCCAGTGTTCCAGCCGTTTTCTCCAACTCTGTCCACCGCCTCACCTGTTCTCCAGGCATCCCTACTGTTACCTGAATTGTGCTGCCTTGGTGAGCATCCTCTTCCTGTTTCCTCTTCCTCTTCTCGGCCACATTCATGGTCCTGCCTGCCAGCACCGTCTGTGTGCTTCTGAATCCTGCAAAGCCCTCCCCAAAACTCATCCTTTAAGAGACCTTTGCCCTCTATTCCTCTGTCATTCCAGCTGTCTGAAGTATCGTTATTAGACACTGCCTTACACTACACTCATTCCTGCTTCTTCCTCATCTTCATGTCAAAAAAGTGATGCTGATGATGAAGATAAAGACTGCCATTAACCGGGTAGACTCCGTGTTAGTCCCTGTGAGTGCTTTCCATACATTAATTCATGCATTCTTATTACAACGCTGGGAGGTCGGCAGCATTATCATCCCATGTATATATTTCTCCACTTGGCTGGGCCTTCTTCATTGCAGCATGCGGGATCTTCGGGCTTTGTTGCGGCACATGGGACCTTTCAGTTGTGGCATGTGGGATCTAGTTCCCTGACCAGGGATGGAACCCAGGCTCCCTGCATTGGGAATGCAGAGTCTTAGCCAGTGGACCACCAGGAAAGTTCCCATCCCAATATTAAGATGGAAAGCCTGAAGCCTAGAGAAGTGACTTACCCTTAGCCATACAAGAAAGATGCAGAGCGGAGGTTGCAGCACACAGGTCGCTAGGATCGCAAGCCAGGCCTCGTTCTCTGCACTGCTCAGCCACTGGCCCTATCGCAGTAAATGCGGCTGACTGAGAGGGTGGTGGTGCCCTCTGAAGCCATGCCTCCTCGCCCAACGGAGCACCGATTCCACCAGATGCTCCAGGGAAGAGGGGTAGGAGGGTAGATACCTCAGGAAGCCCCTGCATGTCGGAACCCCTCTTGGAGATTTCCAGGGTACATAACGTATGGAGCCAAGGCACTGAGATATTCCCCAGTAACCAGACCTGTTGAATTCCTCAGATTCATTTCTGCAAGAAACATCTATCAGATGTGCCAATCACTTTGGAAAAGTTCTAAGAGGAAAGAGCTTCTAAGAGGAAAGAGACTAGTTAGCTGTGACAATCCCAGTGTAAAAGGGTACACTTCCGACTCAGGGACTGGCAGGCATTGTCTGGTCCCCAAGGCTGGCGACCAGCCACCCACCTGCAGGGAGCCTATAAAGAAATCAGGTAAAGAATGCAGATGGAGGAAGAGACCACAACCAGCCAGCTGGGCTGGGGAGTGGGAGAGGGTGGAAGGCGCAGCTGCAGAGGGATGTTTGAAGGTTGTTTGGAGTCTGCCACCTTTTAAGGCAAAGTCCGTGAAGGTTGGGAACATGGGAGGGGCCCCCTGGGTGGGACGGAGGGCACTGTGCTTCCCCTCAGGCCCCCCAGGGGGGTGGGCCCCAGCGGGCTCCTGGAGCAGGTGTGCCAAAGAGACACTCTCGGTACTGAGGCTGCACCGTGTCTGAGAGAGGCACTAGCCCGGGTCCTTCCTGCGTGACAGCCTCACAGTCCTGTGCTGGCCTCATGGCTTCTGAGGCTTGCCTGTGGTGTGATTGTCCTGCCCTAATGGACTCCATCCTGAGGCACCCCTTTGGCATGCAGCCGCCTAATCTCCATGAACGGGGTCATCCCCTGGCTCCTCGCTCCAGGCCTGTGTTCATTGTAAACTCTTTCCCCAGTTGCTTCTCCTCATTGCTGCCTTATCAAAAGAGACAGGACAATCAGGCTGACTAATGGGGAGCTGCCCGTGTGAACACCAGCTGTGTGCTTGGCCAGAGCCCAGCTGTGGGATGAGCAGACCCAGGTGTCCCTGCCTGGCTCAGAGCAAGCAAATATAGACGGTATCCCCAGGGGAGGGAGGAAGCCAGGCCCCCTGAGCTCCACGCTGCCCTGATGGCCAGACCCAGAGCACACCCCAGACCTGGGGTTTGAAACCGGGCGGCCTTGTGGCAGTGCCCGATGCCAGTAGGTAAGAGAAGAACCAGGTGCCCAGAAAGCGATAGGGTTCCCTTTCTAAAACGTGGTGTGAGAGGAAATAGCAGCGCTCAGAGGAGCACTCAGCAGGCCCCCTGCTCCCCCTCACGGCAGGCCCCCTGCTCCCCTCACGGCAGGCCCTCTGCTCCCCTCACGGCAGGCCCTCTGCTCCCCCCACGGCAGGCCCCCTGCTCCCCTCACGGCAGGCCCCCTGCTCCCCTCACGGCAGGCCCCCTGCTCCCCTCACGGCAGGCCCTCTGCTCCCCTCACGGCAGGCCCTCTGCTCGCCCTCACGGCAGGGCCTCTGCTCCCCTCACGGCAGGCCCTCTGCTCCCCTCACGGCAGGCCCCCTGCTCCCCTCACGGCAGGCCCCCTGCTCCCCTCACGGCAGGCCCTCTGCTCCCCTCACGGCAGGCCCTCTGCTCCCCCTCACGGCAGGCCCTCTGCTCCCCTCACGGCAGGCCCCCTGCTCCCCTCACGGCAGGCCCCCTGCTCCCCTCACGGCAGGCCCTCTGCTCCCCTCACGGCAGGCCCTCTGCTCGCCCTCACGGCAGGGCCTCTGCTCCCCTCACGGCAGGCCCTCTGCTCCCCCTCACGGCGGGCCCTCTGCTCCCCTCACGGCAGGCCCTCTGCTCCCCTCACGGCAGGCCCTCTGCTCCCCCCACGGCAGCCCTCTGCTCCCCCTCACGGCGGGCCCTCTGCTCCCCCTCACGGCAGGCCCTCTAGCCTGACACCCAGTGTCTCATAGTTCTCTTGCTGTCAGGCCTTTGCGGGGCTCTTCCTCTGATTCTTCGCCTGACGAATCCTAGTCTCCCTTCAGCTGTGGCCTGCCATTTGGAGGGAGCCTGTCCTTCCTCCTGGGGGCAGTGGGGCATCTGGATGCAGGAGACAGAGGTGTGCCCCAGCAGGAGGTGCACGGTGGGACTGGGCAGGAAGGGGCTTGGGGTGGGAGGAGGAGGCTCACAGGCAGTCTGTCTGAGCAGAGTTCCTTCTGCAGCCTCATCACCAAATTTCCCTGCCTTCTCCTCTAACCACAATGAAATAGCTGATGCTTTTGACTGATACCCTTTACCCCTCATGAGTATATCACTTCACCCCAGACCATCTCAGGGGTCTCTGTCTTCACCTGGAACTGGAATTCACATCCACTGGATTGGGACGTTTCAGCAAGAGGGGCTTCGAGTTGGCCACGCTGTGGCTGCAGTGGAAGTGAAATGCATCTCACCCTGCCTGCGAAGGGCTCAGGCCTGACACCTCTGCCCCAGAGCATGGCAGCATGCTCACAGGTCTGCCTCCATCTCAAGACCGTGCGCTCTCTAAGGGCCAAAGCAGTTCCCTCAGGCCCGGGACTCTCAGTACCTGTCAGGTGCCTGACGTGAATGTAATGGGAGCCGCGTCAGTGTTCTCAGTGTGAATGGAGGCACTTAGACCCCCACCCCACGGCGTTTCAGAGGAAGTCTTGGTAGAGAGAGGAACATCCAGCGAATGTTCTTATAATGTAGGATAACGAGGGTAGCTCATACTGCCTGAGTGACCCCAGGGGCATGATTAGACCAGTTGTCTTGCTGGCAAATTCTCTGTGGAGGGAGAGGCTATGGTCTTTTTGGATGAGAGCTGTGGGAAGGAGTGGAGGTCCTGTGATGCAGAGACTGAGTAGAATGGTTACCCATGAGGCAGACTGTAGAGCAGGATTATGTACTGATCGTCTTGAGTGTCTGAGCTCTCAGCAGGAAGGAGGGAATCCCTCTCTCAGAAGGAAGAGACAACAGCATTTGACAGCAGCACTTAAAGCGGTGCCTTCACCTCGGCTCGCCTGGTGGCACTGCGGTAAAGAACCCCCTTGGAGTGGGCAAGCAGACGTCAGAGACGTGGGTTCGATCCCTGGTCAGGAAGATTCCCTAGAGAGGGGCTGGGTGGCTCACTCCAGTGTTCTCGCCTGGACAAGTCCATGGGCAGAGGAGCCTGGCGGGCTA